AAAAAAAAAAAAAAAAAAAAGAGTGTCTGAAATAGTAATAAGTCAGTAGCACCCCTGGCTACTGAATTCCTAATTTAGACCTTGTAGGAGTCCCCCAGTTTAAGGTCAAGAAAGGAGTTCCAAATAAATATCAGCAAGCATGTGAGAAGATAATCACCTTGAATGACATTCATCAAAAACAGGAAGAGGGATACAGACTCCCCACTCATCCCCTACCCTTGGAAAGCAGAAATTGGGATTGCCTGATACAGAATATAAAACAGCTGTTCTGAATTATTTAAAGAAAGAGGGCATAGGCTTGCAACAATAAACTATTAGGAATGACCAGGATGATTTGAAAACCAAGTGAAAAAAACCAAGTGAAGCTTCTAAAGTTAAAAAATATGATTACTGAAACAAAAATTCATTGAAAGGGTTAGATAGCTTACTGGACACAACAGAAGAAAAACCTGAAACCAAAAGAGATATGCAAAGAAATTGCCATGAATGAAACCAACAATGTCTTAAAGAATATGTCCTATCCAGGGTCTGCTGGAATTTGAAGGCTTTTAGTTCTTGAAGAGTTTGTAGGATCTTTGAATATTAAAAATGTATGTCTTCTTTACTGATCTATAGAAGAGTAAAGTGCAGAACTGTTCTTACTAATGAACTTTGGTGAGAACTGTTTGTTTTTGCTTTTGCCAGTGTTATCATATATTTTCATGTTATTTTGCTTCTGTTCTGATTTTTGACAATATTAGTGAATAAGTAGTGAGAAGATAGAAAACATAAAAGATACATTCAGAATGTGAAGGCTAGAATAAGAAAGTCTGCTACCTACCTAGCTGGAGTCCAGTACTGATGAACAGATGAAGCCAAAGCTGTGAGACAGAAACAACACATCCAAGAAGATAAATGAAAAGAAATTCATGCCCAGACACACTGCAGTAAATCTGCTGAATATTAAAGACAGAGAGTATAAAAGCAACCAAAGAGAAAAGGTAGATCACCTTAGAAGTAAATTGACAAGAGCCTTCTCAACAGCAAAGTAACAGCAGAAGGATACCAGAATTCAAAGTATTTAGAGAAAGTAACTGAGTACTCAGTAATCTCTCAAGAATGAGAGTGAGCCGTGCATAGTGGCACACGTCTGTGATCCCAGCCCTTTGGAAGGCCAAGGTGGCTGGATCACTTGGGGCCAGGAGTTCAAGACCGGCCTGGCCAACATGGCGAAACCCCATCTCTACTAAAAATACAAAAAAAAAAAGAAAAAATTAGCCAGGTGTGGTGTTGCACGCCTGTAATCTCAGCTACTCGGAAGGCTGAGACCCAAGAATCACTTGAACCCGGGAGGCGGAGGTTGCAGTGAGCCTCTCATAGCACCACTGCACTACAGCCTGAGCAACAGAGTGACACTTTGTCTCAAAACAAAAATGAATGAGAGTGAAATGAAAATGTCTATGGGTTGAAAAAACAAAAACACTGAAAAAAGTACATTTCAAGGATAGTAAGCCAAACAGAGGAGAAGATATTTAAACATCTGTAACAGACAAAAGATGAATATCTATCCATATTTTTTTAAATGTCTCAAATTCAATTTTAAGGAAAAGACAGAAACTGGGAAGTGAAAAGCCAGGGACGTACAAATGGAGATTTACATTCAGTTTTATACATTTTAGACTGTCAAAAATTAAGTAGTCTGACAACACCAAATGTGGAAGAAACTAGAACTTTCATAAAGCACTTGTGGGAGTATAAATTGATAGCCACTTTGGAAAGCAATTTGGCATTATCTTTTAAAATTTAATATTTACATATTATACAATCCAGAAATGCCACTCCTAGGTAACTCATACATATACATCTTAAAACATTTACAGGAATATTTAGAGAAACACTTCTCATAGTAGCAAAAAATTGATGACATTTCAAAGGTCCATCTGCATACAAATAGGTTAATAAATTATAATATAGTCATACAATGGAATATTATATAATGAAAATGAATAAATTCACAGTCTTTGACCAAAAAGAAATTCACAGTCTTTGACCAAAAAGAACATAAATTTTAGAAACCTAATACCAAATTTTATTAGTGTCTCCAAAACTACATATAGTATAATATCACTTCATAAAGCCTCAAAACAAGCAAAATTATACAGTATATTATTTTGTTTTACATAGCAGGTGATAAAACTGTATTTTCCTACTTTCTTTGAGACAGTGTCTCACTCTGTTGCCCAGACTGGAGTGCAATGGCACGATCATGGCTTGGCTTACTGCAGCTTTGACCTCCTGGGCTCAGGTGATCCTTCCATCTCAGCCTCCAGAGTGGTAGCTGGGACTACAGGTGTGTGCCACCACACCTGGCTAAGTTTTTTGTATTATTTTTATAGAGACAGGGTTTCACCTTTTTTGCCCAGGCTAGTCTAGAACTCCTGGACTCAAGCGATCCATCTGTCTTAGTCTGTCAAAATGATGGGATCAAAGGTGTGAGCCACTGCACTCAGACTGTATTTCTTAAAGATCAAGGAAACGATAAACACAAAATTGAGAATAATGATTACTTTGTCAAGCCTATTGCCTTTGTAACATCTCAGTCACAGTTTGGAGTCACAAACTACCAGAGATGGAAGTGCTTTCTCATTTTACAGTTGAAAAAGGTGAGGCCCGGAAAGGAAGTTACATGACATCTGTATTAATTTCACAGATTTTAACGGAGCACTATCATAGGCATTTGGACTCCATCCAAGGGTATAAGAGACTATTCCTGCCCCTGAGGAGCTCATAATTTTAATTGAGCAGTAAGGGAGAGGCAGAAAATAAACACTTAAACAATAATAAGTAAACCCTGTGGTGTGTTAGAAAGTCGTAAGTGCTATTGGAAAGAAGAAAAACTAGAACAGAGTAAAGAGGATCAAGAGTTCCAGAAGAGAGTGTGGGAAAGGCCACGGTATTAAATAGGTTGGCCTAGCCCCATTGAGAAGGTGAGATGCAAAACTTGAAGGCGATGAAGAAAATAGGCAAGTGTGTATTTACAGAAAGCTTTCCACTTGAGGAAAGAAGGAAGTCAAGAGTGATTTCAATGATTTTGGCTTGAGAAGCTGGGAGGATGGAGTTGCAACTGCTGAGATGGAGAAAGCCGCAAATGAAGTGAGTTTGTAGGGGAGAGTCAGGACTTCAATTTGGACAGGCTAGCTTAGAGATGGCAATTAATTATTTAAGTGAAGCTGTCAAGTAATCTGTAGAACATACTCATCCAGAGTTCAAAATGGAAATTTGGTGAAAGTGAAAATGCACACATCAGTGACCAAAGCAATACTCATGCAGTGTTTTTTGCACCAAACAGGGCCAGATACATTTGAAATAATTAGCAATTAAGTTTTATGAAGATGAACACAGAAATGAATAGGAATATGAAGAACCAAAAAAATGAAGTAACATGTCCAATTTGATTTTTTTCCAGCACTTTCCTAAAGATATAAATATAGCAGAATATTCAGTTGGCTTCAAATTGACATATTTGCCACTTTGAGATAGCAGTCAATTTTGTGAGGATTTATCTGATTACTTGTCATGTTATTTCCCGTAGTCTCTTTCTGTCTGTAAGCCACAACAATGATGGGGCACACTTTCAACAACATAAATAGTGAAACAAATTCTGCAGGAAATTATGCAACATAGAGAATTCCAAAAAAAAATTATCCACATGTGGATTTTTATTGGCCCTGATCATGTTTTAGAATGAAATGATTATAACTTTGCCAGACTGCTTAGCACAGTTACAAAGGTTGGGGCATGCTGTTGGAATGATTTGCAGAGAGACTGAACTGATTACATGGTGTTTTATTTGTGTTACATTAAATCCAGAGCACTTTTTAGAGCATGCTGAAAACCAAATGTAGAGCCAAGATCCAATGAAAGCCGTCAGCTGGATGTGGTCAGTGTTTAAGAGCTAAAAAAAAAAATAAATAAAGGATCTGGAGATTCTCTGGTTCTTTATTTAATAGTAAAGAAAATTTAGTTCCAGAGAGGTTAAGTGACTTGTCTAAAGTCATCAGTAACAGAATGTGTCAAGAACCTGCCTTTTCTGATTCCTAGGCCAGTATTCCTTTAGCCATAGGCTGCTGCTTCCATGTGTCACAAAGACTTAAAATTTGCTTCTTTTTTTTTTAAATATCCATTTGCAGGGTTTCTTCCGGAGGACAATCAGATTGAAGCTTATCTATGACAGGTGTGACCTTAACTGTCGGATCCACAAAAAAAGTAGAAATAAATGTCAGTACTGTCGGTTTCAGAAATGCCTTGCAGTAGGGATGTCTCATAATGGTAAGCGAACAGTCATCACTGTATACTTTATTATTGTCATTATAGCTGCCAGATCAGTGGACACTAAGACCATTGCCAAAAGTGTGCACAGTTTTTCAACCAAATGCCAGAATTTAGAATATTGCATGCTGATAAAACATTTCTCATTTAGGTCAGTGTTTATAAGGCTTTTACTATAGAACCCTTCTCTCTGTGGTTGGACATCAGCCATGAGGAGAGAAGAGACCTGAAAATCTGGGGGATGATGGGAAAAACTTTAGTGTTTTAGAATAAATATAATGATCATTGCGATTAATTTTTATATTGCTTCAATACGTTGAAAACAGAATTACATTTTACTTATGTGTATCGGTAGTGTGTTTCTACTTTAAGAAAATCCTGAAGATGTCTGCGTCTGGAACTTTAAGTGCGAGAATTTAGACTCGTTCATCTTTTTTTTTTTTTGCTCTTTATTATGCAAAGAGGAACATTCCTTTCCTTCACTTCAAGAAACATCCATGAGTTGTGGAAAGGGGAAAACAAATTATTTTATAGTTCTGAAAAACTTCAATGCCATAGAAACATAAGAGAATAAAACTTTCTACTTTTGAAATCTGTATCTAAAGTTAAGCTTATGACTTTGGGTGTCAACTTAAGGGAAATCATATAGAAGACCTGAGAAAAGACCTATGTTTTCATGATCTGTGGAACTAACTCAGTAAAGTCCTAGAGAACAACATGGTTGAAAAAACAACTCTTGATCACCATGTGGTTCTGATTGGTTGCCCGGCTGACAAAATAAATTTTAGGTGTAACTTGATAGTATTATATTTGTCAAGTATTAATCAGTTCTTTCAATGCACTCGAGAAATTAAAAAATGTCAACATGATCAAATTAAAGTTGAAGTTTCATTTCATCAGCTATCCTATTTTTTTCTTTCTTTTGCTTTCATCTCTCTCAAAACTGATCTAGTAAGAAGATAATCTCTGAAGTCAGTCTTCATCTACATGGACTCTAAAGCATCTGAGAAAATTAAATTTTTGTTCTATCATGTAGATGTTTGGTTTTCACCGTGGAAACCATCAAGATATTTGAGAATCACTCATTGATTAATAACCTACCCTTTAAAAATAGTTCATTACTGTGGGTCAGTTCCTCTAACGGCAAGAATGTATTTTGAATTGAGCTATCAACAGTACTGAACAAGATGGAAATTTGGTCCAACTTTCCTCAACAATTGACTACATCTGCTATATACAACTGCAGTCATGGATTGCAAAATAATTTGCTGGTTCAGTTCCATCAGTTTCCTTTTATTTCAGACCTCATAAAACATAAGGGCAAGTTTCCAAGTCAAGAGTTATATTTTAGGTGATGCAATCAAGTTGCAATAAACTTATTTCATCTTTATGAAGAAATCATTGACTTTGAGGTCATTATCACTGAGACAGCCTAGGAAAGCATGCCAGTTCCGCTTTTAACGCTGTTTTTTGCCTATTAAAAATTTATCACTTCACACATTCATGTAAAATATAATTCCTGTTACTTATTGCCAGTGCATACATTGATGTAAAATATATTTTCTATTGCTTACAAGCATTGTATATGTTTATATAAAATCAATATCCAATTGCATATTGCTTACAGGCAAATATTATTTAAAATCCAACCTATGCAGTATGGATGGTATAATTTTCTCCTCCCATAAAAGTCAAAGAAAGCTATCATAAACTTGATAGGTCATCTTCTGACTTCATATGACTATTTGTTTTATTTCTAGAGAGAGTCAATCTTGTTAGGGAGCGTTCAGTTCTAGTGAAAGCAAGAAAATGCAGGAATTAAGTGTCATGATATCAGAGATTTAGGCAGTTCAACACTTTAAAAATTGCAAACATGACTAAGAAAACCTCAGAGGTTTTTTGGGAGTTTGCTGCAAAGAAAAGAAAACATCAGGCTAACAACAAGGTTTTGTTTGGTTTTGCCTGTTCGCTGGATGAAGAAAACATTTCTAAATACAAAGTTTTCTAGGAGGTTGAGTTACTATTTAAAATCCATTGCTTTGACCAATTTGAAGCTAACAGCGTTTTCATTCATATAGAATGACTTTTTAAGTTATCAAAAGAGGCTCCGAGTATTATACAAATATGAGCACCCAGCTGTTTTCAGTATGTGCAAGAAAACATGAACGTCCCCCCAAAGCAAATGTACTCCATTCTCTGTTAACTGTATTTCTGCTCTCTGATCTCTGATTAGTCTGGTTGATGAATATAACTTCCCCTTTGGCCATGCACTCACAGCTTTGAAGGAGGCTTCTGAAGGAACCCATAGGGAACCCTAAGGGTTCTTGATAATATTGTTGGATAGTCACTGAAATCAGTGATCACTATGTCCTTGCACTTTTCAAAACTCTATGATTTTGTGTAATGCAACAGCCTAACTCACTGGATTTTTCACTTTTTAGTCAGCTATTCTGTGCCTTATGGTGTTCCAGCCTTCTCAAATATGTAGGCACCTGGCGTGTCAATTGCCTGAATTTAAAAGTTTTCACCTATATGCTTTGGTGCCATAAAAATAAAAATATAATTTATATACCTGAATCAGGTCTATGTGTTCTGATCAATTGCTCAGCAATTTTGGGCAGTTATTTGATGGTTATGTGGTAATGTAGCCCTGGAGAAGAAATCCAGAGCCTCTGGGCTAGAGAAAGTATAAATGGCATATTAGGCTTTGTAGGGTTACAGCTCTTCAGAAGGAACTTTCATTTTCATTGCGACACATCGCCTGCATGTTGTAGAAGAACATCATTTCAGAATTCTTCCAGTTAGAAACATAGTTTCTCAAATATTCACTTTCAGCATTGGATAGAAAAAGTACCCAGGTTGATTGATATGCTTTAGAATTATGTTTTTTTTTCCTGCGAGTAATGAAAGTAAACATACCTTCTTAATTATTTT